GGCATCTCTAGTACTTCAAGCTAATTTTCCTTCAGTAATATAGAAAGATAGAGATTCTGGGTCTGCAAAGCCTAAGGACCAAGCCCCAGACTGGCATCCTAGAGTGGACACTTGACATGCATTTGACCTACCATTTCTACTTACAACCAGCAGAAAAGCCAATGCCGTAGAAATAGGGCAAGTAATGAAAACACACTGGAAGTAAAATCTAAAAAGAAATATCCAAGAACTTGTATTTTTCTTATTTTTATTTTTATTTTTGGTACTGGGGATCGAACTCAGGTTCTTGTGCTTGCGCAGCAGGCAGCGAAACCACTGAGCTAAATCCCCGGCCCTTTATTTTTATTTTTAGGGGTGATAACCTAATTACCAGACAAGGTGAAGAGAAAACACTGGAAAGCAGCACCCTGTTTCCACAGTATACTGTACCTAGAAGTACCTCTGACGCCCAGTAAGTATTTACTGAGTGAATGAACAAATAAATATTTAAAGAGTGGGAGTTAATTTCTTCGGTATTTACATCTTAGCACCAAGGATTCCAGAGAGCTATAGACAATTACTGTACCCTTAATGATTTCAACATGAGGACATACTGGCTCTAAACATTATCTGATTTCCTGAATGCAACAAACCTCTCTCTAGCCCTTAGCTTATCTAACAGTAACACAGACGAGACAACCCTTGCATTCCTACACAGAACTTCCTTTTCTCCGAAAACACAGGGGAGGGCCTAAACTTAACCACAGAGGCAAAACTGCTGCTTGTTAGTTGTTTTTGACAGAATAACTTAAAATGATTTTCAATTTTCACCCTTCTAGACTTTCACACACATGATTTCTTAACATGAGACAAATTTTATGAGGGCTTTATTTCCCTCCCAGGACTGGCAATTTAACCCAAGCCCTTCACCCTGAGCTACATCCCCAGTCCTTTTTTACTTTGGGACAGGGTCTCACTAAGTCACTAAATTGCCTAGGCTAGGCTAAAACTTGGAATCCTCCTGCCTTATCCCCCACAGTGCTGGAATTACAAGCAAGTACAACCACCTCCAGCTTTTATGAGAGATTTTTGTGTTTGTTTGTTTGTTTGTTTTTTGAGACAGGGTCTCATCCAGGCTGGCCTCGAACTCAGGGCAGCCCTCCTGCCTCAGCCTCCTGAGCACCACCATGCCCAGATGAGAGAGATTTTTAAAGGAAAAGAAATAAAAGAAAAGATAAAAAGTATGCCAAGAATTCCTAAAAGGTTAAACACAGGTTAAACAGAGTTATCATATGACCTAGTAATTTGCTGGTATATTCTAAAAAAATTAAAAACATGGTCACAAAAATGTATACATAGATGTTCACAGTGGCATTATTCATAATAGTCAAAAAATAGAAATAACCCCAGTATCTAGCAACTGATGAATGACTTAACAAAATGTGGTATATCCACACCACAAATAGTATTCAGCTATAAAAGGATTAAGGTACTGACTGATGTATGCTACCACTTAGATGAACCACGTAAACATACTAAGTCTAAGATGTCAATTATGAGGGCTAAATATTATACGATTCCATTTATATGAAATGTCCAGAATAGGCAAATCCATACAGACAGAAAGTAGTTCTCAATGGTTGCTGGGGCCTGGTGAGACTGATTGCTAAGAGGAATGGAGTATTGGGGGAGGGTGTTGAGGGGTGAAAGTGAAAATGTTCTGGAATTAGCCAGTGAGGATGGTTAACAACTTTGTAAATACACTAAAAAATATCACAGAAATGTACACTTTAAAAACATGAAGTTCAGCCAGGTGTGGTGGTGCACACCTGTAATCCCAGTACTCAGGAGGCTGAGGCAGGAGGA